GCCCCGTCTCCAGCGTGAAGTACTGCGCGCCCAGGTCGGCGGTGCAGCCCGCGCGGCGGCTCGTGCTGAGGCGGCCCCCTGCGCGACAGCCCCGCGGGCGGCGGCGCCGTGAGGCCGCGGCTCCCCGCGCCGCCAGCCCGCCTCCCGCCCCGGCTCCCGGCTCCCCGCGCCGCGCTCACCGGCGCCGCGCGCCTTGTCCCACACGCGCGTGCGGCCCCGCGGGAGCAGCGCGGCGCAGGCGCTGCCCGTCAGCCCCGCGCCCACCACCAGCACCCGCGCCATGACGGCGCTCCGCCTCGGGCCGCGCTCCGCCTCGGCGCGGCCTCGGGCCGCCCTCCGCGGGGCGGGCGGCAAGCGGCGTCSCGAGGGAGCGGGACGCTGTGGGGACGGTGTGGGGACAGAGCCGGCGTGTCCGCTCTGTGCATCCCCCAGGGTCACTTTGGCCACACGGCTGCTTCGTTCCAAATAAACGTATTGTATATTCTATTTGGGTGCTTCTGTGTTTAATTTTTTTTTTTTTTTTTTAAAAAAAGATCATTTGACCAACGTAATTTATGCAGAGTCTCCATAGGTTTTTAACTCCTTAAAGTATTTAAAAGTACATAGGATAGACCTAAAATATAGATCTATAGTAATATAGATAATATAATAATATAGATAATACGTAGATCTATAATAATATAGATACATAAAAAATAGATCTATAATAGGTCTAGGTATGGTTAGACCTAGATGGTCTAGGTATGGTTCCTAAATAGGTATGGTTCCTAGACCAAATTTTTAAAATAAGAAAAGTTGGGTTATGGCTGTAAAAGTATAAAAGGCTCAAAGACGATAAGGGACGTCGTACCTAACTGTTGGACTCGCTGATGCTGTGATGGCTAGAGAAGGACCTGGGGTAGAGGATGCTCTGAAGCAGAATCAGAAGGTCGCAGCCAAGCTTGGGTTTGACAGCACCCAGGCAGCTGGGAGTCTTGAGTCTGACCCCGACTTGCAGCAAGACCAAGTTTGTGGCAGCCATCAGGTTGCCACGTCCCGATGAGTCTGGACAGTCTCCGAGGATGGAGATCACTCACAGCAGAAATGCTTGTGTGGCACCTACCCTTAGAGCCAGGTGGGATTTTCCTTGCTGCAAGTTGTGCTGATGCCTCTGGTGCTTTCACTGAGCAAAGTCTGGCTTCACCCTCTTCGGTCAGTGAAAGCTGCAGATACATCCCTCCTGCACTTCACCTTCTCCAGACTAAACAGGCCTAATTCTTTCTCTTAGACTCATTAGTTCAGCCCCCTGGCAGTCCTATAGACCTTTTGCTGGTCTTCCTTCAGGCAGTCGTGATATCTGTATAGAACTGTGAGGCTGGATTATAGGAATGTAGGAATTCAGGTAGGAAGGGACCTCAGAAGGTCTCTAGTCCAACCTCCTACTCTCCCTTCCCAGTGACAAGTCTTGTCAGTTCTCCTTGCACAGTTGCACASGATTCCTGTCTGCCCATTCCTCCAGTCTGACCAGGTCCCTCTGGATGGCAACCCTCCCTTCCAGTGTATCTACTCGTAACCCTCCTCCCTGCCATCAATTTGGTATCTTCTGCAAACTTGACAAGAGTGCTGACCTCTTCTAGGTCATTCATAAAGATGTTAAATAGGACATGTCCCAGGAGAGTCTCATGTAGCATCTAGGGGGGTTTTGAAGATCTTCGGAGAAGGAGACTCCACAACCTCCCTGGGCAGCCTGTTCCAGGACTCACCCTGACTGTAAAGTTGCTCTTGCTCATATGGAGATGGAACTGGCTGTGTTGCAACTTGCACCCATTACCCCTTGTCCTATCACTGGCTACCACTGAGAAGAGTTTGGCCCCTTCCTACCTATATTCACCCTTCAGGTATTTATACAYATTGAGCAGACCCCCCGCATCAACCTTCTCTTCTCCAGTCTAAACAGGCCCATCTTGCTTAGTCTTTCCTCATATGAGAGATGCTCCGTTCCCTTCATCATCTTTATCATTCTGCTCTGGACCCTCTCTAGAAGCTCCACCTCCCTCTTATACTGCGGAGCCCRGAACTGCACACAATATTYCAGGTGCGGCCTCACCAGAGCTGAGCAGAGGGGCAGGATCCCCTCCATCACCCTGCTGACAACACTCCTCCTGATGCAGGCCAGGATCCCATTGGCCTTCTTGGCCACGAGGGCACACTGCTGACTCATGGTTAGCTTGGTGTCAACCGGGACTCCCAGGTCCATCTCCATGGAGCTGCTTTCTAGCAGGTCAACCCCTAATCTGTCCTGGTGCCTGGGGTGATTCCTCTCCAGGTGCAGGACCCWGCACTTGTCCTTGTGAAACCTCATAAGGTTCCTCTCTGCCCAACTCTCCAGCCTGTCCAGGTCCCTCTGAATGGCAGCACAGCCCTCCGGAGTGTCAGCCACTCCACCCAGYTTGGTATYRTCCMCAAACTTGCTCAGACCTTCGTCCAAGTCATTGATGAACAAGTTGAACAGCACTAGGCCCAGTACTGACCTCTGTGGGACACCACTGGCCACAGGCCTCCAACTGGACTTGGCCCCATTTATCACCACCCTCTGAGCTCTGACATCCCCCCAGTTCTCAATCCACTTAACTGTCCACCCATCCAGTCCGCATTTCTGGAGCTTTCCTATGACCATATTATGGGAGACGGTGTTGAAAGCCTTGCTGAAGTCAAGGTAGACAACATCCATGGCTCTCCCATCATCCATCCAGCCAGTCATCTCATCATTAAAGGCTATTAGGTTCATCAGACATGACTTCCCCTTGGTGAATCCATGCTGACTACTCCCAATCACCTTCTTTTCCTTCACATGGCTAGAGATGCTCTCTAAGATGAGCTGCTCCATCACCTTTTGAAGGACAGAGGTGAAGCTGACTGACCTATAGTTTCCCAGCTCCTCCCTCTTGCCCTTTTTGGGCAAGGAGTCCAACGACTGGAGTGACRTTTGTTTCTTCCAGACCTCTGGCACCTCCCCTGCTCTCCATAACCTCTTAAAAATGATTCAGCAATAACCCCCACCACTTCCCTCAACACTCTTGGCTGCATCCCATTCGGGCCCGCAGATTTATGGGTGTCCACTTYGCGTAAATAATCCCTAACCCAACCCTCCTCGACCAGAGAGGAGGTATTCCACTTCCTGGAATACTACTGACTTCCTGGCTTCCAGGAAGAGTATGATCCATTAACTGGATCCCTTTCTGAGTCTCATCATCCAACCTGGACAGAAATACTGCTGCAAGATGCATGCTTTTTCTGGATACCATTTGGAAACATAATGAACAGTTCACTCAGGACTAATGACACATTCTTTAGAAAGGATCCTGGAAACTGTAATCTGACTGCAAAGATGAATACTTAAAAA